GGCCGCCGCCGCCGCCGCGGCTGCCGCCTCCTCCCCCTACGTCTATCGGGACCCGTGTAACTCGAGCCTGGCTAGCCTGCGGCTCAAAGCCAAACAGCACGCTTCCTTCAGCTACCCCGCCGTGCACGGGCCGCCCCCGGCAGCCAACCTCAGTCCTTGCCAGTACGCCGTGGAAAGGCCCGTATGAGCGGCTCCGCCCGTAGATCATCCCCGAGGGCGGGGGCGACGATTCACAGCCTCCTCGGACTGGGGTCGTTTTGACTGGCTTGCTCCCGCCCCAGGGTCTAAAAGGGGTGTTTGGTCAGCTGGGGGGCGCCGGCTCAGGAGAGGGCCTTCCCCTCCCAGCCCTGAGGGGTGGACTGGGCCCTAAACACAGACCGCGCCCCTGGGACTAAAGCCAGGAACAGGGACCAGCTTCCCGGGGGCCAACTCACCCTTGGCCCATCCCGCCTTCTCCAGGCTTCCCCTCCCTCGTTTTCAAAGATAAATGAAATAAACGTGCGCGGACTGTCGAAGGCGTGATGATTCAGAGTTGCGGTTGAGTCCTCTTCCCTTCATCCTCCCCCACTGTCTACAGGCGAGCTGGATGTACAGGAACGAAGTGAGGGTCCAGGCTTCCAGGGATTCAGTCCCACTCACCACCTGCCCCCACTCCAGGTCGGGGCAGCCCGGGATTCTTGAAGCAAAGAGGTGCGTGAGTGCGGGGGACGTGGGAAACCAGCTACCGGCCTGGCATCGGCCACAGCCGGTGCTGCGGCGCCACCTCGTGGTCTCAGGGAGGCTAGCTGGTAGATCTGGTCTCTAATGCTTGTAGGTGTCAGCTCTGCTATTCAGGGAGCCTATGACTTTAGATAAAGTTACTCCGCCTTTCTGAGCCTGTTTCTCGCTGTTCCTGTGAGGGGCTTGGTCCTCTAACAGCAATAAAATTCTGGTCTGTAACAACATTTATTAAGTGCCTACCAGGCCTAGGATTCTTTCAGTGTCTGTGTGTGTGCCTCTCACCCTTCCACACACCCTCAGGCGTCCCACCTGCCGATCATCCCCTTGGTAGCAGCGCTCTTTCCCCCCAAATCCCCAAACTCTCAAAATTTTGTTGAAATATTTAATTTAAAAAAATAGAGCAAGAAGAAGAAAGATTTCTGGATAGAAATTAAACAACTCAGCTCTTGGGACCCTCCTCCGTCCTACCCCCATCCCAGGGCCTTCTTGGCCTTCACATTAAAAACAGAAACATCAAAGTAACAGACCACACCCCCATCCCAGGGTCACCCTTCTTGTCTCAAAAATTCCAGCCACCGTGGGGCACACATCCTCTGGGGAAACCATGCAGGTAAGGCAACCTAATCATTCTCCCAAAACTAAGCCCAGCCTCTTGGTGCCCTGGAGAAGAGAGAGACTGGAGCTTCACTGTCCTCTCCAACCCTTCACTGGCTCTTGGTCTTGGCTTTGACCTTGGGCTTGATGTAGGTCTGGCGGAAGAAGTGGGCAAAGAGGATGAAATAGGTCATATACAAGATGAAGGACCAGAATAAGTGTTCCATCGTGGTGTGGCATCCCTGTTCCTGCCTCCAGATGTACGCAAGGATGCTGACGATGGCTCCTACAAACATCTGCAGGATCTGCAGGCTGGTGATGAGCATGGGCAGCATCTTGGGGGGCTTCACGTTGGCAGCCTTCAGAGTGTAGTAGGTGTACATGAAGGCATGCACACCGAAGTTCATGGTGACGAACCAGCCTCCTGCAGGCACTTTGTTCTTGTATCCAAAGCTTGTGTACACCAGCACTGTGCTGTGGTGGTACCAGTGAATAAAGATGAGTGGCCGCTTACGCAGGATGATGAAGGCTGTGTCTCCTGGGAGATGGAGAATCATAGTTGGCACACCACCCAGTGCTGGGACCACCCTCTGCGCTGGGTGTAGGGACACAGGAGAAATTCTCAGGGGAGGGAAGGGGGTCTTTGTGGCAGAGAATCTATAGAGGGGCTTGGGTGAGAGGTATTATTAGGACCTAGGGGTAGGAAAGGGACTCTCAAGGGTATGGGTGAAAGGAGGGCCCTGTGGAGGGATGCAGTTCACAAGGCACCAGAGAGACAAAGCCTTGCCACTCACCGAGTTCTATGACCTTGCTGAGAAGAAAGACCCAGGACCAGAATTTCACTGTAGAATTACCAATGAAGTTGACAAAGCACACGGTTTGCTTTAGGCCCCCGGTAAGTATCACAGTTCCCATAATGCCCCACATCCTCACTGCCCCCAGGATACTGAAATGGGACAAAGGAAGATGGTATAAGTGTCATCCCCAGGCACCAATCCACCCTTCCCTCGGCTTGGCCAGGTTACTGTGTTCCAAGCTCTACCACCTCCCCACCTGTCCACGGGGCTGGGTCAAAGCTCCTGAGAGCCTGAGGCCAATCTGGTAGATCCAACCAATAGTCTAGAGGAGATGAGGGCTGGAGAAAGATCAGGGAATGCAAGGGGATGGGACTGAAAGTTGAGTTAAAGAATGGGGTTCTTGGGAGGGGTTAGGAGCCTAGGAGGAGATGTGTGGAGGGATAGGGGAAGACTGAAGGAGTTTGGGGGAGAAAATATGGGGAGGTTATTGGAGGGTCCTGAGAGAGGGTGTTAGGAAGTGAGAGCATTAGAGACTGGAGAAATGTTTTACAAGTACAGACTATGAAGGCAAGAGGGAAAAAGCAGAGACCACCAGGTAGGGGTCTAAAAAAGAAGGAAAACAGGATAATATAATAGAAGAGGGTGAAGGCTGGGAGGGGAACTAAAGCTGAGAATGAGATGGGGAGAGTGTTACAGGGCAACTTGGGGACAGGATGGAGGTTGATGCAATCGGGAAAGCTTTAAGGCATAGAATGGAGGTCTAACGTCTAGAGAAGAGGCAAGGAGTGGGATGGGGTCTTACCTGAAGATTGCAAGGCAGAAGGACCAGAGGATGAGGGGCCCCTGCAGGTTGAAGCCCTTGCGTTCCTTCATGTAGTTCTGCCCCACAGGGATGAGAAGCAGGTAGATCAGGGCTATGGGGAATGAGGTTGCCCTGGCAAGCAGAAGGCAGAGGGGATGGGCTCATGGGTGGGTGCTGATTAGAGAAATGCCCACTCATCTCTCCAGGTAAGTGCTCTGGGTTGGAGTCCCAGTTCTGCCACTTACTAGCTGTGTGACATTGGAAAAAACAACTTAACTCTCTGAGCCTTGGCTTCCTAATTTGTAAAGGGGGAATACTACATCTCTCCTGGGAGTACTAATGTATACAAAGTACCTAGCACAGGGCAGGGGCTATGTCCAAGGTTTCTGTGATTATTGCTCTCTCAGTGGGGTTAGAGGTGGGTGACAGCTGTCTGGCCCACGCCGAGAAGCAGTCCAGGGCTGTGGTGTAAAAAGAGTGTGGCAATAGCTTCTCCCTGGTTGGGGCGCCTAGAAGCAGCCCAGGGCTGTGGTGTAATGAGAATGTGGCAATAGCTTCTCCCTGGTTGGGGCATGGCAAATTGGTTGGAGCATAAAGTCAGACCCCAAAACCTCTGGGGAGCTTTAGGGCAAAGCCAGAGAGCTCTTCCAGGGGAAAGCTTGGAAGAGCTCTCTGACTTTGCCTCCTTCTCCGCAGCAGGAACGGTGGAGCACCTGGGGAACGATGGGATAATTGTAAAGGGTAGGCTGTCCCCGGGCCCCGCACTGTGCACACACGCTTACACACACAGCCATAGGGGACGTGGAAGTCATCTAGTAAGGCTTCAGATCAACCTCACGCCTCCAAGACCAGTTCTCACTACACGCTGTCTTTGGCTTCTGTATATTTCCACGTTCTCCCTCATCCTCTTATTTCTGCTTGCTTGCTTTCAGCTCTAATGTCTTTGAGGTGCCACATACTACCTGCACCTCGGACAAAGGTAGTGTGAAATCAGTACGAGGGAGTCCCGTAACTCTGTTCTGTAAGAAAATCATTGCGGGCATTCAATGCCACCCCCTTGCACCCTGGCCCCAGGGACCTAGCATGGCTTTTCCCTCTTCCCAAGTCTCACCAATACTCCTCGAAAAAGGGCCTCATGTCCTTGAACAGCTCGAAGTTACAGGGCTGGAACAGCTGATTTACTTGATGTGAGACATTCATGGCTGTGACCATCTAGTTTGGCAGACGTCGAGGTCCAAAGCTTGGAGGCGCTGGGCGAAAGGCTGGGGGCTCCAAGGATGGAGTGAACCTCGGGGCGAGACGGAACAGAGCCGGGACAGAAGGAGCCCCTGGGCAAAGCGAGGAGGGCGTCGGACCTAGGCACGTGCGCGGCGGCGCAGCCAGCTCTCCCGGGCGCAGCCACCGCGATATATAACCAGGACTTGCAAAGCGGCCGGCCCGGACGGCGCGCGGCCCCCTCCCTGCGCCGCGCCGCTATCCAATCTCGACCAAGATACGCCTCTGCTCCGCCCCTGGGACACAGTCCGCATTCTGATTGGTCATCCTCATGGGCCCGCCTGCCAGGCGTTTCGCACGCCCCGCCCCAAGTCCCGTCGTAGGCCATCGCCCGCTCACTTTCCCAGCCTTTTCTCTCCCTTAACACGTCCCCCTAATCCTGTGCGGCCTTGTGTGTGTGTACCCGGACAGGCCAGTCTTACCTTGGCACTGTCAACCGTGGCCTTTGCCTCGGTTTGCTTTAATCTTAACCTGCTTAGCAGTGAGGAGAGAGGGAAGGTGTCCTTAGGCTTTGATGCTCTCACCCAGAAATGGAGGCTCCCTGAGATCCTGGGAAACCCAGGCCTGTGATGAGGAAATACTAACCTGGGCAACGCAGAGCTTCTCCTGTAGTCCCTTCCACCTCCTAGCTTCGAGTCTGCGGTTGTGAGTGGGTGGAAGGAGATGAATTTTAATAAATTTTATTGTTGAGGTTGTTGATGTTGATGTTTGGGTTGTGGAGGCTGCTGTGGTTTCTTTATAGTTTCCTGAATTCCTGAACTGCTCCAGACTGACAGTAATAACCATGGAGAGAGGAAATGGGGTCACCCTCTGGGCTTCTGGAATTATTGTCTTCAGGTTTCCTGGAGGCCTCTTAGGGTTTAGGGAGGGGGAGAGCCACTGTATCTCCCCAAGGCCTGCTGCTTTCTATCCCTAACCAAATCGACTTCTTTTTCGCCTGTGTAACCAGCCCCAAAGAAATAAATGTTCTAAAACTTTTACAGTTTTACTTGACTGTCCCTTATTTCTTTCCTAGGTTTTGTGAAAGCGAAGGAGAAATACAAGGCTTGAGGACAGTTTCAGATAAGGTGGAGATTTGCAAAAAGTTCTAAGAAACATAGATACAAAGTAATTGAAATCAAAATGTGGGTATAAATGGCTACGTGCAGTAAAGCTCTAGAGCCAGAGGATCCAGGTAGGAACCCCAGCTCTAATTCCTGAACCTGAGCCACTGTCTATGGGAGGGTGTAAAGAAAGTCCTATCAGTGCCATCTAAGTGACTCAAAAGTGCATC